CTCCCCCTCGGATAGGGGATGCGCAATTTGAGGAGTGGGGGTGGGGTTCTTGTCCGGAGGGTCGGGACCCCTAGCAAGGAGACTCTCTCCCCACGACCCTACCCGGTTTAGCTGCCCCTTTCTGATCCTTAGGCTCATTCGCTCTCATACACTGTTACCCTCTCTAGACACTCGGTTTCCAGTATTGATTTTCACTGGTGAAAGCATTTGGGGGGTGAGGGTGTGTGTGTGTGGGGGGGGTAGGTGCACACTCAGAGGATACACTAAAAGAAATTTTCCTTACTGCAGTGTTCCCAGCGAGACATGTGTTTTCTGCATCCACAGTATCTCGCAAAAAAAGAGCATGGGAGTGGTGTAAACATCACCAGACAGTCAGAGGTGGACTCTTGGGTAGTGTACATATCCTTGCCCTTGGTGGTGAGAGCCTGAAGAAACAGGGAATAACACACATAGAAAAGTAAGGAAAGACACAGGGCATATGCACATCATAGAAGACACAGGCATCCAGGTATACATATGGCCACACAAGCCCAGGGTAACACACATGACCATATCGAGCACACATTATACACACAAGCAATACATTGACACACGAACACCCAGAGAGTCTCAACAAGTATACACATCTAGAGAAACCACAAGCTTCCACATGCTCCCACATGAGCATGGAAACCCTGGGTATGCAGCGCAGAAACATTTCCTGCAGCGCTAGCTAACTCTGATGTATATCCAGCCTCCTCCCCATGCACACATTTATTCTACATGCCCTCATTCCTCTGCTTTGGACCTAGCCCAAACCCAGTGTCATCAGTGTCCATGGCTGTCTTCCTTTATATAAGAACTTTTCGGAAAGGAAGCCAAACAATATTTTCATATGAGAGAGTAAGGTAATCGTGGTGGTCTGAATAAAAATAATAAGCCCACATAGGCTCATATATTTGAATGTTTTGTCACCAGGGAGTGGCACTATTTGAAAGGATTAGGAGGTGTGGCCTTGTTGGAGGAAGTGTGTTGCCACACATGGGCTTTGAGGGTTCAAAAGCCCATGCCAAGCCTGGAGTTTCTCTTTCTGTCTGTTGTCTGTGGATCAGCATGTAGCTTTCAACTACTTCTTCAGCATCAAGCCTGTGTGCCTGCCACCACAATCCCCACCATGATGATAAGGAACTCAGTTCTGAAACTGTAAGCAAGCCCACAATTATATGTTTTTTCTTAGGAGAATTGCCTTGGTCATGGTACTTCTTCACAGCAATAGAACATTGACTAAGACAGTAATCCACCCATCGGTAGGACACAGAAACCATTGTGTCCACTTGTAAGATCTTGGCTACAACAAAATTATAAGTCCATAGTTATTTGTTTATATGTACACTGGTTTATCCTACCCTCAAACAATCCTATGGGCAGATAATACAATTTCTACTTTGCAAATGAGGGAAATCCACCAGCTTCAAATCATCCCCAGAATCATGTTCGCTGTGATCAGTATATGTGGCAGGAAGATGGAACAGCCAGTGCCAGTGTGTTCATAACAAAGTGGAGTTGGATTGTAGTAAGGGACGTGGACAGAATGATTGGATACATCATTATCTTAATGAACGATGAGTGAGCAATGATAGTGGACCAGATAACTTGGTAGGAGATATGCAAGTAGATTTGGGGTCTCTTGCCTGAAAGACTTCATAAACCAGGTCTTTGCTATGTAGCCCAGGCTGGCCTGATATTATGTAGTCCAGGCTGGCCTTACACTCTGCAGTAAGGAGATTCCTGGTGTGCACTACCATGTCTGGTCATTTGCTCATTCCTTATTCATTAAGTCAATAGTTTGTTAAACCATTAATAGTATGGGATCTGGGTTCAATACCAGCCTCCACTATATGGCTGGGAAAATGACATTATTTATTAGTTGTTTTTTTCATCTGTAAAAGGAGTAAGCAGAGGAGAGGTGTAACCTCTGTGCCTTTGCAAGTGCTGCAGTCCCATCAGAAATGCCTTTCTTTTCAGTACTCAAAACCTGCCTGTGATCATTTCATCTCCAGAAACCATGTCTCTACCTAACCTTTCTCCATCCCTTTCCCCCTATGTTCCTATAGTTCCCAAGTTCAATATTCCCAAGCCATCATTTTACTCCCCCTTCCATCCTAGTCAGCTTCAGTTTCTGCTCCAGGCTTTGTTTGGCTAACCCTTTCTCCTTCTCTGAGGAACTCCCTGCATATTGATTATTTCTAATGCTTTAAAATATGTAGTTCTAGTGCTTTTTTTTAAAAGCATGGTCTGTGGTGTCCTCTGGTGACACAGGAGCAGTTGCAGGTCTTCAGACTTTTTTGGCTCCTCTGGGCCCAAATCAGTGCTTTGCACAACTACCTTGACTGTGGCTCTTCCTGGGAAATCATGGACTCTTAGTACCTGTAGCTTCCTAGTGCTATCCTTTTCCCTATGTGGCTGTTTTAGAAATTAACTTTCGTAGATTATTTTTCAGAGGAATTTGCCTCCCACTCCTCCTGGTGTGTCTTCAAGGCAGAAGTAAATCTCCACCCCATCTTCTCCAACAGGAATAGGCATAGAGAAGAGTCTAAGAATCACTTCTTGTGTGTGGGTGAGCAACAATTTTAGCATGCACCTCTGACACGTGTTCATGCCAGTATTGTGCCCATAACACATACCTAACCATGTTACCCTAGTGTAAGTGCGCACACACACACACACACACACACACACACACCATGGTTTTGATGCAGTTATAGCCTCTTAAACCACACAGCCAATATAGCCCTAATTCTAGCACAGCTCTGGAAGTTGACATTATAGAGATATGTACCTAACAGTACATACATACACAACCAAGCTTCTGCTTTCTTGCATGCCAATATCTCTTACACTCTGCAGTAGCAAGTAGAAACCCTCACTTTGACTCAGCCTTCCCAAGATGGCCAAGTTCTCATTGACTTGTCTTCACTTCTACCTATCCACTGGGCTATGTTACACGTTCTGACTGGGTCTTATCAATCTCCCACCAAAAAGGTCCCCTTCACCTACCGCACAAAGTTGCAAACTCTCTGTTCCTAATACTTAACACAGTGTCACCATGTGTGGTGCTTCAAAAACATCCAGTGTATTACCTTTATGTGCTAGTTTCTCCTTTGAAAAGTGAGGATAATATTGACCCTCATGGCTTCATTGTAGATTAAATGAATCCACACTATGGAAAGCCTTAAGACATTACTGGGCTCCCAGCAAATTGCTTTCTAAGTGTTAGTGATTGCCACTATTATGATGACTCCTTCATAATTCTATCATTAGCATTCAGTGAACAGTAAATGAATGAGCAAGTTCTAAAAACACTGATGTCTGGGGTTGTTCCCTTTACTGTGGAGACATGGGCAGCTGATTCTTCTTTTTCCTTGTGTCCCCATGCCCAGCACTATTGTTAGTATACAGTAGGCGTTAAGCATTGAAGACATATTTGAACAAAAGGAATGCCTATTCTGAGTCTGTTCACTAGATCTCAGATATCCTCGCCTTCTACCAGTCCTCCTCCAGCCCAGATGCTCAGACTTATCTGTAGCATACAGGAGACACTAAAGTGTTAAAAGAACAAATACAAAAAGATGCACCTGGGTTTATTTTAGGGGTTCCTCCAGGCTGATGCTGACTCTAGCTTCTCTTTGCCCCTGCCCCAGCTCAAAGTACATCATAGCCACCTCCTCAGTGCCCCTTCCCCCAGCTATTTGTTAGTGGTAATTGTGATGTTGGAGCTAGGCTGTTTTCAGTGGGTGGGTGCAGGTGCTTTCTCAGCTGGGAGCCAACTCTGGTCACATCCCACCCAGTTCACCACTATGGCAGATCTGCCAGCTGAGAGACTCTGATGAGTGGGTGGGAACCTAGGGAACTTCATAAAGTAAGAGACAACTAAATAGCACATGGGCCAATCAAAAAGTTCCTGCCAAGGTGAGCAGCCAATGACAAAACCCACCTTGTCGACAGTCTCCCAGCCCACTCCCTTACAGTCATGGCAAAGGCAGGCTGGGGCTGGATACTTGCTTTCAAGCTTTCTAAGCTGCAAACACAATAGAACAGAATATTTCTCTACTACTTTGTTCTAGAAAATTCTATTGTCCCACTTCCAGGAAAGGGGGCAGGTTTTCTCCCTTCTTTAAGGAATCTTAGAAGAGTTGAGAAAGGCTGGTTTATTCAGGTCTGGAAGATCAGGGGTCAGAATGGAAGCAAGGGATTTTAGGGTTTCTCCTCCTCTGGGTCTTTGCAGACAGGCACATGCAGACATGGCCGTTTCTCTTCCACCATCAGCTTCTGCCCCTGTAGCGCCTCACACTGTGGCCGTGGAGTCCCCCAGAAGGTAACATTCTTCTCACCCTGACCTTCGACCATGGAAACTGTGGGCCTAGGGTGTTGGGGAAGCAATGGAGGAGAGAAGCTCAGGGAAGGCAAGAATGCATTGAAAAAATCTTTTTTTTTTTGAGAGTTTGATCTCAAAGTCAATGATCCCCCTGCCTCAGCCTCTCAATGTAGGAATTACAAGCAAGCCTCATAACCAAACCTGTTTTTTGTGGTGTTAGAGATTAAATTTAGGGCCTTGTAAATGCTAGGCAAATGCTCCACTATACCTCATAGCATAGCCTCCTCCTCCTCCTCCTCCTCTTCCTCCTCCTCTTCCTTCTTCTTCTTGTCCTACCCACCCATCCCCTCTCTTCCTTTTTTTATTTGGAGAGTGTCACTATGTTACCCAGATTAGCTTTGAATTTCATTTGGTAGCCTAGGAAGGTCTTGAACATGTGGTCCTTTTGATTCCAGCCTTTCATGTAGTTAGGATTACAGGTTTGTGCCACCACACCTGAATTAACATTTGTGTACCCAACACTACAACTAATTGTGATATTGTGCTATTTCTGATAAATAGGAAAGATTTGTGTGTCTGTTTCCGTCATCTAAAAATGGCAGCAATAAGAATACTCTTACTAGCCGGGCAGTGGTGGCACATGCCTTTAATCCCAGCACTCGGGAGAGGCAGGTGGATCTCTGTGAGTTCATGACCAGCCTGGTCTACAA